CAGCACTGTACCGATGGTTGCGGTGCGCAGCACGGTAGTTGAGGAGGTATTGGAGGACAGCAAGGTAATGGTCCTCCACAACATCGCGGATTTGGATAGAAGCAGCACGGTCGGCCACACGGCACAACTCTGCACTCTACAAACAAACCCTACTGCTCTATTTAAGTGACATCAAAAACCCGCACTTATATTTTTAGCCACCTACCGTATTCTTGTTCAATTCGTTCTGGAGAATTAGGGCAACATTGCACTGGAGGCTCTGGAGGAGGAGGTGGAGGTGGTGGAGGTGGTGGAGGCGGCGGTGGAACAGCTGGTGGACAACAAGTTCTGGGCGGTGGAGGAGGTGCCTGAACTGTCAGACAAATAAAAAAAGTTTTTTAGAAATAGAAATAACTTTGGTAAGAATAGCAAAGTTACTTCTTTTTTTCTTTTGCTAAGTAATCAGCAAAAGATTTTTGAATGAACTATTAAAGAGTGATATTTTTCTTGCAAAAAAACTATGCGGAAAAACTAAGAGATTTCCTTATATTTACAAGTTCTAAGACGCGCTGTTGTCCCGCACTGAGAGCTTGATCACGCAGCGTTATCGTTATTTTCTCTTAGCTACATTTATACATCGTTGGTGCGGAATAAAAATTTAGTACCCTAACGAAGCTTAGGTGGATTTTAAGCAATTTTTTTAGGTAAACTAATTAATTTTATGCACACGGGCGGCAAGAGAGGAAGAGAAGGAGGAGGCGGCTCTCCTTCCTCTTCAAACGGTCGACGGCCTTCACAACATGGAGGTGGGCAACAAACAGGTACTACTGGACAACATGGACCAAATGCTGGCTCACAACACGGTTTTGGTGGCGGTGGTGGTGGACAACATGCTAGCGGCAATGGTTCGTTTGAACAACAATCTAGAAAGCGAAATATCAGTTAAGCAAACTTGAATAGTGAATTCAGAAGTGACTAATAAATCAGTAATAAGAAAAATGACAGTAATGATGACTGTATGGTTGCTGAGTTCTTACTCGGGTAACAGCACTCTCGATTTGGGAAAAGTTCACATCCGGAACAACCACACGTGCAGCGCTTTCTTCTCGCTGAACGTGGGTATTTGGGAACTAGGTTGTAAGTTAGATTTGGATTTATGAACGGCGCTTGATCTAACTCGTCAGTCACTAATGATGGCCATTTTACTGCAATTCTGTATAAAGTTACAAATTTTATGAATTTATATTTTGTTTATTGCTGATGCTTACAGCAGTCAAATAAACACTTTTTTTTTGTCTGTTGATTGCCAACCCATCTAAATGTTCAAAAAACTTTGTAGAGAAGCAGTGAAAATTTTAGAAGTTACCGTAATTGAAGTTTTCATATTTTCAGTGTTTCATACTGCTTTGGATGTTTTAAATACCGGTTAGAAAGCAACAGAAAAATCTTTTAAACTTATTGAATGAAACATTCAACATTTAATAATCAAATTAATTTGGCCTTTCGAGGCTGTTGTTAACTTTCTGTACTGACATTCTGGATATGTTTACATCTTCTAGATTACTTTAAATAGAACAAAAAATTTTTTGGAACACGAGACATACAAGTCCCTTTTGGTCAAAAAAGTTGGAATAGTCATCCAAAAGTAACGCTGTTGTCAGCCGTAATTGCTTTAGATCACCTGAACCAAACCAATCTTTTGAAGGTTTAAACCACATTTACTTCTAAAACTTGAAAGTGAATCATTTCAGATAATTTGGTGAAGTTGCAGAAAAACTGACAGCTTTGGAACTTTAATTTTCAATAAATTTCTGTTTAACATGTCATAAATTTTCCTTCATTTGCATTAAAATTTTTTTACATGATATTGAACCAAACTGTTATTACAGCTCAAGTGATACAACAACTATTAATTAAGGTTTCCAGGTCATTATCACTTCTGTTTTTTCCCCATATTTTGATTTTTTCTCTCTTTTCTTTAGTCATTAACAAAAATTTTTTGAATTTTTAAAACAAATAAAAAGAACAAAGAAGGAAGAAAATGATTCTAAAAAATAACTTTTTGCTCTTTTTTTCTTGACTTTTTTTGCTTTTTTTTTTTTTTTTTAAATTCAACTACTACTGGTTGCTCTTAACAGAATGTACTTTATACCATATTGTAATTGTTAGACTTTTTATTAATCCAACTTATACCTTAATCTAAAAAATAATTATCTGCTCTTCATAATCATTATTTTCAATTTCAATTTCTCATGACGTTTCTAAAGTCAATGGTCAATAAAAAACCAGTTTTAGAATAGACGTCTGAAACCTGATTGTTGAAGTTGTTTCCAACTTTTACTGTTCAGGGTGTTCTCCTGTTCAGTTGTAATCTGTCCACCTAAAGCTGATACAAATACAAGTGTACCAAGAAGGATAAGCGTTTCGGTAATGTTTAGTAAACAATCAGAACTGCCAATCATTTTAGTCTTTCATCGAACAGTTGCTGCAAATGATTGTTTAAAAAAATCATTGTACATCCTTAAACTGCATACTGCAAAACTGCTACAAAAAATATGCGCTGAAAAATGCTTTTATATCAGTACGGTAGGATATCATTAGTGAAATGTACTATAACCAACTCAATAAGTGCCCCCACAATTTCGCATTTGGAACTAAGTTTAATCGGATAAGAAATTTAAGTTGCGTTAGCAGACGTGACATAATTAAATCCTGGCAAAAACTTAAAAAACAAAAAAATTAGCCAAAGTTTTAGACTGATTACCATTACTCTACATGTAAACTTGACTGTTAAGCCTAAGATCACAATGAAATTCTTACAGTTTATAGCTGGCTGACATTTTTGCATGAAACAAAAGTAAATTTAAAGTAAAAAAAACTAAGAAAACCTTAAAAGTTGCGCCCTTCTGGGCTCGATTGGTTTCTTCAAATTCAAATACCTCTACCACTTGTTTAGAATTCCAAGAAAAGAAGATCAGCAGCAATTATCCTGTTTGTAGCTGGTCCTATTGCACTAAATATGACAAAAAGATTGGTCCCTAATTCACCGCTTATTTCTAACAGTTTAGAATTTTTCTTCTCATTAACAGCACTAAATATGACAAATTTACTACAGTCTTCTCACAATCCTGCTAAAATTTTTTGATACATTAGTATTCTGAATGATAATTTGTGTTGAAGCTGATCAAACGCACTAATTTTCAAACCGATACATAGTTATCTGCACTAATATACCGTTTCTCAAAATTACAAAAGATGCTGTTGATAAAATCCAGCAACTAGCTGATAAAGATAAAAATGAATGCAGTGCATTCAGAAAAACCCCCTGAAATATGCTTATTTCTGCAGATATCAGCCTTCTAAAGTAAAATCAAATTTAGCTTTATTTTTTAATAACATTAAAAATAGCTGAAAACTTGTAAATTTTTGACTTAAACAATCAATAAAACTATTCATTAAGACAGAACTTCTGGAAACTCTTACTACTGCAATGCCCTTCAAAGCTTCATACTTTCCAGAAATACTGTTGCTTTTTAACAGATGAACAAATCACCATTTAAAAAGAAAAATTTACAGTAACTGAAGTTTCCGTTTGATGTTTTCGAAATTGATTACAAGCATTATTGGGCAAAAATGTAGTTCTACCACTTTGATAAATTTGATAACTTTAAAAGAGAGAAATTTGAGACTTCAAAATGATTATGACTTAACTGAAGTTTTCTGATGCAAAATTTTGTTTAAAATACTTACATATTCAAAACAATTTATACTTGGGAACAAAAGAACAAGAAAAGTAACAATTACAGATTTATTGTGAACTAAAAATGTGAACTATGTTTCCAAAAGACAGTTAATCAACCTGTTTTTTTTTTTTTTTAACTTTTTGAACAATATATAATTGTTGTTTATCAACGACTTGTAAAAAAGGTGAAGTGATAAAAGAAAGGGAAATTTCAAAAATCTGAATAAACTGGTAGCCAAGAAAGTCTGCAACCACTGAACGGCGGGTCAATCAAAACCTATCACTGGAACGGTTTTGCAAAAGATTATACGATTTATTGCATTAAAATAAACAGCCAGTGAAAAAAAAAAAAAAAAACTTGCTGGATAACTGCTGTAATGATGGCGAAAAAAAGGAAGGCGAGAAATTGGAGAAAAACTCCTGCGCACTACAAATAAAACCATCTCCGTTCTTCATTAGTAAAAAAAAAAAAACTGCTGATTTTACCCCCACTCTATTTTTTTTTAAAGTCTTCATCAATTCTCCCTCTCCTTTCAACACAATGCTCTACTGATAATCAGCAATGTCTATCCTGAATTATGAAAAGGATTTCGAAATTCAAACGGAAGGTTCCGAAGAGACTGCGGCATGAGAGAATACGCCAGAGAGTGAGTATAATAACTGTTTTGGTTAATGTTATTTAAAAATATTTCTACACCAACCAATTTTTCCAGTTAAAACAGTTATCATGCTGTTTTTTTTTCTTGACAATTTCAAGATCTACTACTGGTTGATACTGCAATATAACTAGCTAAGCGGGATATCTCTTGTGAAGTCACTGTACCGTGTTCAGAGACTTGGTAACTGTATTTCTAATTTTAAAGCGAAAAATTAAAATTGACTCAACGATTCCACCATTTCTGCAGAAAACTCCAAAGTTATTGGCCACCGTTTGTTGTTGAAGTTCTGATATTGTCTTTCCAGTAATTTTACCTGTACAGTTCCGAAACAAATTAAAATCAGACTGCACTTCTAAATAGAGCATCTTTTTGAGGCTGTTTAGTTCAAAATTTTTTGCAATGCGACTATGCATATTCTAAGCTAAATGTAACCTAGATAAGTAATTGGTTAAAGATCTCATATAAGGTTTTTTGTGTGTTTATGCATCCAGAGTCAATCTTATCCAGCAAGATTGACTCTGGATGCATCAATTCTCAAGATATTCTGAAGCTCCGATTTCTGTGTAGGTGAACAAATATGCGGCAGCAAATGGAAAGGTTAAACCATTGGGAGAGTTCTCGGTCCAAACTGATCTAATCAAGAAGGCCGCCAGCACTTTAAAGGCCACTTTTTGGCGTATTGCCAGCAGCAGTGGTTATCACTCAACTGTTGAAACCGGTGTACTGGTTCCAGATCGCTACTGGAAAATTACAAGGTTTTTTGGAAAACGAGTCATCATTATTTGTTGCGTAAGATTTCTTTTGCTGATGATTAAGCCTTATATCGTCATGTTCAAATACAAGCATTTTTTCTTTTTAATATAGAAGCGT